TATTTTTTTTCTCATGATTTAGTGGTATCTCATTACATCTCTTGATTATAGACACACCAAAAGAAAAGGGAATTTTTGTTTGTTTTCTTTCTGTTGTTCTTATTTTGGTTTGTTGATTTCTTCTTCTTCCTCTTTTTTTTTTTTTTTTTTTTTTTTGGTTACTAAAATGTCTCTCTTTCTCAATACAGTTGCCAATTCAATCACTAAATAATGGATTATTTGCCACATAAGAAGGGCAAAACATGGGCTATTTTCTCCCATGAATTTTTGCCTATTTGAGACCCTAAACCAAATTGAGAAAAGCATGATTAAAACACTCAAAATGCCAATATAGTAAGATGTATACACTTTGCGAGACTAACTCGAGAATCTACTACCCTGCTTCTCCATGGATAGGGCTCTGTAAGGCCGGACTTTAAATGAAGTCCAAGCACCTTTTCTCTATCTGTTTAGCTCCAGTGCAGGAGAACAGATCAGCATTTAAGGTATAAATGAAATTATTCTATTCCTGAAGAGAACATTTGCTAGTCACATTTATGGTGGAAGAAGCAATCTCACAACACAATACAGCTCTCCTTGTGAGTGGAGCAGGCAAGTCCTGGGTAGGGCTAGACTACAGGGCTCACGGGCTCTATGCCCTAAGCCAGTGATGCTCCTTTGTGCCAGAGGCTGGGTTTTGTAGCAAACTCAGTCCAGGCCAGGGTGCACTGGGCCTACCAAGAAACCTAAATAGTCAACTAACCCCCCTGAAATAGACAGACCTATTTCTTTAATCATTAGTATTATCTGTATACCTTTAGGGGGTACAAGTGCAGTTTTGTTACATGGATATATTACCCAGTGGTGAAGTCTAGGCTTACCAGAGCAACAACAGGGTGGTAGATGATCTCCCTTGTGCAGCCAACAGCTGTAACCCTGGCAGGTAGGGTGCCTACTGTTCATACCGACTACAGAGAGCGGGTACGTCTCTAACCTGATAAAAGATATGAAGCTGGTTATCAATTTGTTGCCTCTCACCTTCAAATTCACCCTTCAATATATATTCTCTGATAATAGAGAGATTTTCAAAGTATCTCTCCTTTAAAGTAACAGCAAAGAGCAGGATGTTACACTTACGTAATAGAGGGCTCTGGAGGGACAGACATTGAAAACAGAAGTGGTACTTCTTTGATTTCTGACTCTCAGAGGTGCAGAGGTGAGGCCACTGAGGATGCTTTGTCCCAGGCCTGGGCCCAGAGCAACTGTCCCTCAGCAAACCTTCAGTCCTGGTGTGGCCTGATGATCAGCTTCCTGTGGCCCTCTTGATAGGGACATCCTGTACTCCAAGTCATTTGTCCACTGCTTCCGTCTGCTCACTTGCTCCATAGCCCCCCCCACACACACACACACACACACGACCACGCTCCTGTAATCCTTTCAATACTGCAACCCTCTCAACACTGAGCCCCCACCCTGATCCTGTACATGGGTCATTGTTGACTCCAGGCCTCCAACTGAGCCAGGACCCCCAACCCCTACTTCACAGCCATATACTAGACACCAGCTATGGCTTGTCCACACTACTGTGCTCCAAAGGGTGCCTTCTTGCTTCCTCTCCGACTGTAGACCAGTTTTGGCTTTGCAGATCAGCTCAGGTACTGGCAGACCAGTGGAACTTCTCTGCCATCCAGCGGGTTCTTCTCCAATGTGATGTAAAATCCAGCCTTTGGGAGAAGTTTTCATTCTAAATTTGTCTTTCCTTGGGTACTCGCCTCCAGCCCCAGAAAACCCCAGACAGAGTTGTCTTATATCCTATATAAGATCTTTTTTCATAGTTTAATGATTCTTTATATTAAACTTTCCCCTTCTAGATCACTGTGTGCTTTCCATCTCCTGACTGGACCCATACTGCTACAGAACGCAAGCATGATTCTTAACAGAGAATCACTGAAAGCTTTCTCTTTAAGAGCTGCATCAAGAAAGGATGTCCACTACCGACACTTGTATTCAATAGTATGCTGGGGGTGGGGGTGGGGTTTCAAACAGAGCAGTGGTGCAAGAAAAAGGAATAAGATATTTGGAAAGGAAGAAGAAAGACTGGCGCTATTTGCAGATGATATGACAGTGTACATAAAATTCTACAGAGTATTAGAGACCAATTATTAGAATCAATAGAAGAGTTTAAACACTCGTAGGATAAAATGTTAATGAACAAAAACCAATTGCATCCTATTTGCCAGCTACAAATTTAGACAATGAAAATTTCAAACATAGGATTTGCAAACTATGACGTGCCTAGGATAAAAAAAAATTACCTTCTGGGAAAAATATAATATGTTATTTGGGCACATTAAAGGAGATCTTATTAAAAGGAGAGACAGACCATAACCATGAATCAAACATTCAATATTGAGAGGTCAACTCTACAATTTCAGCACAATCTGAATTAGAACTCCAAACTAGCTATTGGTTGAAGTTTTCATGATGAGTTTATAATTTAAATGGAATTGAAAGGGGCCAAAGTTAGCCAAGACACTTTTGAAGAACAAGGTAGACTTGACTTGCGTTATCCAAATATCAAACTTGACTATCGGTTTTAGTAATTAAGACAGTGTGGTATTTCAAACAGACAAATGGGGCCGAGCACTTAATAGAGAGCATAGAAACTGGGCCATCTGTGTGTAGATACTTCATTGATGGCACTGTAAATCACCTGGCAAAAGGCAGACTTTTCAATAAGTGGTTCCTGAGAAAACTGGATATCCACACAAACAAATAAACTCTACTCAACACAATACACAAACAGACATCAATTGTTTTTGGATTAAGACCTGACTGTGAAGGGCAATAGCATACATATTTTAGAAGCAAATATAGAGATTGCATTCACGGCCCAGGGTTTCTTAAAAAAGAAAAGATTTATTAAAACAGATTTCTTAAAAAAGCACTAACCATCAGGAAAAATGGTGAATTTGACTAGATTATAGTTAAGATCTTCTGCTCACCAAACACAGCACAATGCAAGGGAAAACACAAACAGAGCCAGGGAACATTTTGGCCACAGGTGTGGACTACTATTTAGAATATTTAACAGGCTCATCAAGTCAGAAAGTACCAGGTGAGAAACAGGATAGAAATATGGGTTAAAAGAGGTAAATGTGAATAGGCCTTCCTCAGAATAGAAACTCCAAAAGGCTCATAAACACGAAAATGTGCTAAAGCTTAATGGTAATTTGGGTATTGCCCACGAGTAGACCGGTAAAATTTAAATTCTGGCAACACTTGGTGTAGGTGAAGATGTGGAGCAGTAGGGACTCTCTGTGCTGCTGGTGGGATTGACAACTGGCCCAACCACTACAGAGAACAATTTGGCATCATCTAGTAACGCAGAGGATATCCGTACCCTATGGCCCTGTGATTCTATTCTTGGCTATAGACCCTAGAGAGATTTTTACGCATGTGTCCCATGAGAAATGTGCAAGAATGTTCATGATAATCCTTGAAAATTAGAAGCAATCCTAATGTCCATCCGCTGTAGAATGGAGTGACATAATCATACCACAATCGCTTTGCTATAAGCATATGCTGGAACGACAGTCAACGATGGAGACAAAGGATGTGCTCACTTACAGCTATTATGAACACCATGGACGAGTCTCTCAAGTATAATACAGGGTGAAAGAAGCAAGCTGTAAAAGGAAGCATGCCTTATGATTTCATTTATACAAGTGCATATCAACTCTATTGTTTAGGGATGCGTACAAAAGTGATAAAGCTATAAAGGAAAGCAGTGAAATGATTATTACAAAGTCAGGGCAATGACTATATCCGTATAGGAGAATGTGGGTTGTGATTGGGAGGAGTATGGCGGCTGTATTCTGGAAGGCTGGCAGTGGCCTATTGCTTGACCTTGGTTCTGGTTACATAGGTGTCTACTTTTGTAAAATGATCTAAACCATACAGATACATTTTATGCACTCTTCTATAGCTCGGATTTGACAAACGCTTCCTCCAGGAAAAGTACCAGAAAGAAAAGTATGTGGAGTAGAAATTTTGAAGAGGTTTGAATAGTTATGTTTCAAAACTTGATCTTCCAGTCAAGAGACCAAATGTCCACTGTCATTAAAAGAGGGCAAGAGAGCTGGGAGTAATTAAACCACGGGTTACTCGCCCCCGCCTCGCCCGCCCCCCCCCCCGACCAATCTAGTCATCTCTCTAAGTCTTCTCATCTCAGATATTTCACCCTATATTTGCGTCAATTCCCAACTCATTCCTGACATACAAATTGGAGGAATGTCGTCATCATTAATAAGATCATTAGGCACCACAGGCCCAGCAGGCCTGGGCCTCCACACTTAAATGCGAGCGGGTACACCAGGGCGATCGGGCATGATCGTCCGTGCCTTTTACTCGGCAGAGTCCATTGCAGTGACTGAGGGTTTCACCTTAACACATGTAACTGGAACTCCTGCCCAGAGGCCTCCACGTGCTGGAGAATGCAGTCAACTGAGGAATGCCCTCATTGTGCTTTGAGCGTGAACATGAAATTTATCATGGTACAACCGATGGTGGAAGGGCAAAGAGTTGGTTAGGGTTGTGCACTGTATAGGGAGAAGCCTGGAGTGGGTTGGGCTTTTTCCAGATTTCGGTAAAAATTGTTTCATCCTCCAGGCTTTGCATTTCTAGACGGAACAGTGCTAACGTGTTTGGGCCGCATCGCTCACTCATTCTAATCTCTGTATCAGCAAGACAAAAATTGAACTATGTGGCAAATTTCACTGAGGACTTTGCTCAAGACAATCGTGAGTATGGAAGTTGTCCCGCGGGGAGGTGGGAAGGGGAAGGACACTTTCAGCAGAAATGCCAACACTATGGTGGTCTAACGCTGACACAGAGACAGTTTATTCTCTCAGGAACTGTCTTTCATCCATCAATCCAGCCAGCCAGCCAGCCAGCCAGGCAGCCAGTAAACAAATTTTAACACACAAAAAGTACGAAGCAACACGTCTAACACTGGGAGGGGCTGGGGTGTGTTTATTTGGGTATATACAATGAGTCACGGATTAAAATTGCTTTTAGCGGATAGCTACTTAGGTGATCCACAGCGTTGATGAACAAGCTGTCGTCATTTCCCCATTACCTCAGAAGACCTCCTTAGTTGCTTACTTATGTTAATGGTAGAACGCAGTTAGGCATAGCAGGCTCTACCTCTGGGCTTTCTATTCTGTTCCAGAGACCCAGTACCAGAATATTTAAATCACCGTGGCGTTAAATACGTTTTAATATCTGATAGGGCCAGTTTCTGCGCATTGCACATTTTTTTTTTTCCCTTTCAGGAACGTGTTCGGGCCCGCGGCAGGGGGCGGGGTCGCGCCTCCGCCGCGGCTCTGGTTCCAGCCGAGCCTCACGGACGCAGAGATGGAAATCCCGAAGCTGCTCCCGGCTCGCGGGACCCTGCAGGGCGGCGGCGGTGGCGGTATCCCCGCGGGCGGCGGCCGGGTCCACCGAGGCCCTGACCCGCTGGCTGGCCAGGTCCCCACGCGCCGCCTCCTGCTGCTCCGGGGCCCCCAAGATGGCGGGCCCGGGCGGCGGCGCGAGCAGGCCCGCACGGCTTCACGGGGCCCTGGCCCGAGCCTGTTGGCGCCGAGGCCCGATCAACCTGGCGGCGGTGGCGGCGGCGGCGGCGGCGTCAGCGGCGGCGGCGGCGACGACGACTTCTTCCTGGTGCTGCTTGACCCGGTGGGTGGCGACGTGGAGACCGCGGGCTCGGGTCAGGCCGCAGGGCCTGTGTTGAGGGAGGAGGCCGAGGCGGGCCCGGGGCTCCAGGGGGGCGAGAGCGGCGCGAACCCCGCGGGCCGCCCTGCGCTGGGCCCTCGCTGCCTGTCCGCGGTTTCCACTCCGGCCCCGATCTCCGCCCCCGGCCCCGCCGCGGCCTTCGCGGGCACAGTCACTATCCACAACCAGGACCTGCTGTTGCGCTTTGAGAACGGCGTCCTCACCCTGGCCACGCCCCCACCACACGCTTGGGACCCGGGGGCCGCGCCTGCCCAGCAGCCCGGGTGTCTGATCGCCCCGCAAGCCGGGCTCCCGCAGGCCGCGCAGTCGGGTGACTGCCCAGAGCTGCCGCCCGACCTCCTGCTAGCCGAGTCGGCCGAACCCGCGCCTGCTCCGGCGCCCGAGGAGGAGGCGGAGGGCCCGGCCGCCGCCCTGGGGCCCCGCGGACCGCTGGGCTCGGCCCCAGGCGTGGTGCTGTACCTGTGCCCTGAGGCGCAGTGCGGGCAAACCTTCGCCAAGAAGCACCAGCTGAAGGTGCACCTGCTGACGCACAGCAGCAGCCAGGGCCAGAGGCCCTTCAAATGCCCCCTGGGCGGCTGCGGCTGGACCTTCACCACCTCTTACAAGCTCAAGAGGCACCTGCAGTCGCACGACAAACTGCGGCCCTTCGGCTGCCCGGCGGAGGGCTGCGGCAAGAGCTTCACCACCGTGTACAACCTCAAGGCGCACATGAAGGGCCACGAGCAGGAGAACTCGTTCAAATGCGAGGTGTGCGACGAGAGTTTCCCCACGCAGGCCAAACTCAGCGCCCACCAGCGCAGCCACTTCGAGCCCGAGAGGCCTTACCAGTGCGCGTTTTCTGGCTGCAAGAAGACGTTTATCACAGTGAGTGCTCTGTTTTCCCATAACCGCGCCCATTTCAGGGAACAGGAACTCTTCTCCTGCTCTTTTCCTGGCTGCAGCAAACAGTATGACAAGGCCTGTAGGCTGAAAATTCACCTGCGGAGTCACACCGGCGAGAGACCTTTCCTTTGTGACTTTGATGGCTGTGGCTGGAACTTCACCAGCATGTCCAAACTCTTAAGGCACAAAAGGAAGCACGACGATGACCGGAGGTTCACCTGCCCCGTGGAAGGCTGTGGGAAGTCTTTCACGAGGGCCGAACATCTGAAAGGCCACAGCATAACCCACCTGGGCACGAAGCCTTTCGTGTGCCCTGTGGAAGGCTGCTGTGCCAGGTTCTCCGCTCGCAGTAGCCTCTACATTCACTCCAAGAAACACCTGCAGGATGTGGACACTTGGAAAAGTCGTTGCCCGATCTCCACTTGTAATAAACTCTTCACATCCAAGCACAGCATGAAGACGCACATGGCCAAAAGGCACAAGGTTGGCCAGGATCTCTTAGCTCAGCTAGAAGCAGCAAATTCTCTTACACCCAGCAGTGAACTTACCAGCCAGGGACAGAATGATCTCAGCGATGCAGAGATAGTGTCTCTCTTCTCTGATGTACCTGACGGTACTTCTGCTGCAGTGCTGGACACGGCACTGGTGAACTCGGGAATCTTGACTATTGACGTGGCTTCCGTGAGCTCGACTCTGGCAGGGAACCTCCCTGCTAATAATAATAATAATTCCGTAGGGCAGGCTGTGGACCCTGCGGCCTTGATGGCCACCAGCGACCCTCCTCAAAGTCTGGATACCTCTCTCTTTTTTGGAACGGCCGCCACTGGTTTTCAGCAGAGCCCCTTAGATATGGATGAGGTCTCAAGTGTAACTGTGGGGCCATTGGGATCTCTGGGCTCTTTGGCCGTGAAAAACTCCAGTCCAGAGCCCCAGGCTTTGACGCCCAGCAGTAAGCTAACAGTGGACACAGATGCTCTGACTCCTTCGAGCACCCTTTGTGAAAACAGTGTCTCAGAACTACTGACACCAACCAAAGCGGAGTGGAACGTACATCCTGACTCTGACTTCTTTGGACGGGAGGGAGAGACCCACTTCGGATTCCCCAATGCAGCAGGAAACCATGGTTCTCAGAAAGAAACAGATCTTATCACTGTGACTGGCAGCTGCTCATTTTTGGTATGAACCGACTCTATTCATTCCTCGCCATGTGGCTTACTTTTATTACAGTCCATTTTGAGGATATTCTGGACTAAATGTTTAATTAAGTGCAGTCATTTATTTGTGGCTTGCAAAAAGAGCACAGCCCTGGACTACAAGTTTGGAGATCTAAATTCTGACCTTGAGTCTGGAACTGACAAGTTGTGTGACCCTGAGCAAGTCACTTAACCTATCTGAGCCTTAATTTCCTTATTTATAAATCGAGGTGGTTTGAACACATTGCTCGTAAGATCTTGCCACTCTGGGATCCCTTGATAATACTGTGCTTTCCCTGAAAAAAATGAGAACACTCTGCAATGATGAGGCATGGCTTGTACTTGTAAAAAAAAGCCCCACCACCCCCATAGCATTAAATAAGCAAACATGCAGAAAATGGCATCATACAATAAAAAACAAACAGAAACTTTACACACAACAAAAACAATGAAAAACCAATGAAAAAACTCAAAAAAAAAAAGAGCCAAAAGCAAGCTCCCGTTCTACCAAGATGTTGAAAAAAATAAAAGATATCTGATCATTTTGTCTATAAATATTATATATCTATATAGATATATCGATATCAATATCGATATAGATATCTATATAGATATATATCTGAAAGCTGTCATCTGATATGGAAAAAAGGATAATTCCATTATCATAAGTGATATTTACAGTAATTCTTTAATATCTGCAAGTATCCAGTGAGGGTTGAAACTTCCAATTGCCTCATAAATGCTATTTGTTTTATTATTTTTAATTAGTAGCATCTCGTTAATCTCCTAAGTGTCTTTTTAATCCTTATGTTTCCCCTTCATCTTTCTTTTTTTCCTTGCCATTTTGATTATCAAATGAGGTTGTTTCACATGTAGCATTTGCCACAATTTAAGTTTTGCTGATTACATCCCTATGGTAATGTTTGCTGTCCTCTATTCTCTGTTTCTTTAAGTTGCTGGTTATGTCTAGAGACTTGATGAGATTGAAACATGGCTTTTGGCATGAATGTTTCATAGGTTATGTTGTGTTCTTTTATTAGGTGGCGCATAATCTGGTTTTCTCTCTTTGTGGTATTAGCAGCTGCTTCAGATAAATGCATTAATTCATGATGCTTCTGATATGATGAATCATCCTGGTAGAGTTACTAATCATTATGAGAGGTGGAAATGCTATGTAATAGAAATATTATTCAATGCCAAAATATTTTCTTAAATAATCATAGAACTAACAAGAAAAAAATAGATAGCAAAGAATGTGTTGGCTGTTCTCATTGTTTATCTTCCTGACTTCTTTTGATGATGGAAGGCTGTTTTGTGGAAATTACCAGCCAAGACTTTGACATGAAACAGACCTTGGGTTAAATTTTGGCTCTGTGGTGTTGGATAAGTGGCCTTGAATAAATTAGTTACTAAGCCTCAGTTTTCTACCTTTTAACTGATCATAGCAATGCACACACATACCTGACACACTTAAATTTTCTTCTCTTCCTGTTTCTTACGTTAAGGAAAAATACTATATGTTTTGGCATATTTTGGTAAACTTGTACCATTTTTACTCTCTCAGTGCTTCCTTCTATAAGACAATAATTGGAGTATTTTTATTTTATTCATGTGCAGGCAAAAGATCTTTATGAGTAGGAAAGGTAATCTGTTTATTCCCTCTTACCTCTACTGAATAATTTTCTCTCCAAGAATTGTTCTGGGAAATACCAGGAGTGGAGACATTGCCACATGCATAACAGCATATCTCTCCATTCGATCAGTTTGTCACCATCTTTGCTCTGTTTTGAAAGTCAGGCTTCTCTGTAACTGTAAAGCCTGCTGTTCCCTGAAAATCTAATAATGGAGCAGTGGAGGTTTCTTTCTTTCTGTGTTCTGTAGATCTCATTGTTTGCACTTACAGTTTCTCAAGAGTTGAAAGGAAAGATTGAATTGAAATATTGTGTAAACTGTCTGTCTTAACGTTAGTGTAGCATTTTGCAATTTGGGGAGCATCTTTACAACTTGTGTCTCGTTGTTCAGAATGACCCTGGGAAGTGGTTTTGGCAATGTCTATGTTATGTTTCATGCAATTTAGCCAACTCCCATTCCAAGTTGGCTTTGGCTAAATCTGACAATTCTATATATAGCTTAAAACAAAGAAGATACATTCTTTTCACCCATCCTAGTCTATCCAGCCTTCATGATTCATTCTTGTGTCAACATTAGTCGTTGTTTTCCATTTCAATTGGTTTCTCTTGTGGTCGGTTTACTTTCTTTCTTCTCCACTCCCTTTCCTGCACAGTCACGTCCTTGCCATGCCTTTTTGTCCTTTTTTTAAATGGATATATCTTTTTCCTGCCATTATCCCTCAGACATTCTCCTCATGGCTCATTTTCTTCAAATGCTAACATTTACTAAGAGTGTACATTGGAGTTCTGTGCATACAGGAAGAAGTTATTTTCTGAGCTTAGATAATACTATGTGTATATGTGATTCAAATGATGAAGATTATTTTCTATACCCTTCAAATGAGAAGTGGATTTCTGTTTCATTACTTCCATTTTTAAGTTTTTGCCAGAGAGTTTTGCTAATACTCTCTTATTTGCTCTAGTGTACTAGTCCAGTAGTGTTTGCATGTGGATGTCTGTGGATGACAGTTATTGTAGCACTTTGGCAGTGCACTAAAAATTTGCCGCTATGAAATGTTTCTGTATTGTGTGTGTATGTGTGTGTTGAAATGCACACACAGCTACACTCACATATATATTACAAGTGGTTGTATTCATTTAGTAAAAAACAAAAAGTAGACATACTTTTGTAAATCAGATAAATGCTTGGAATTTGATTGTGTCTACCCATTCAACAGTTTTCCCTCTTTGCTCTGGAAATATTTGTACTCATATAGCATATTTCAAAAAATGTTGTCATTCATTAAGGCCCCTTAAATAGACCACTATTTTTTGTGTCTGGCAGATAAGTATGTCAAGGTTTGAGATGAACACATAAGTCATGGAAATTAAATAAATGTATAAACATAAAAATAATTTAATGCTGTGACTTCATTTTTTAAATTCTTTAAACCAACTTTCTCCCAATAAAAAATTATAGACTATATATTTTCCTACTTATTCCTGGAATTGTCAAAGGACAAATGTTACGTTCTCAAAGGGAACAGCTTTTATTTGTCCATGGGCTCACGAAGTTTCACTGAACAAATCTGTTCAAATGATTTCTCTTTCAACATCATTTTCTAGCAAAATCGTGAAGAACAGCTTTGCACTTTCAAGGTAATAAGTTTAATTCAGTTGGTGCTGACAAGTTGCATGTGACTGGTCTGAAAAAAGTTGCCATCCCTCTTTTTAAGTAATGGTATTTGTTTTAATTTTATTCTGTTTCCTTTCTGCTTCGCCTCTGGCATTGACTTATTAAAACTTCTCATCAATTGAAAACACAGTAACATAATGGATTAAAAAAATTGTTTCTAAGGGCTCCATTTATCATAATTGTCATAAGCTAAAAATATACTGATATTGCTGGGCTTTAAACCAGTTAGTATAATTAATACAACAAAATGCTTGAGTAGTAATTGAGAAACATGGATAGCCTATGAAGTTTGTCTCTGTGACTTACATTTTTCAAGTTCATATCCAGGAAACATATGAGAAAGTAATTTATAAGCTGGAGATTACACTGTATGTATTTCAAATTAACAAATATTTACTGAACATCATTGTGCAGATTATACCATAACACACTGAGGGGTCTATGATGAGAGTAGTATATGACCCTGACCTTTAAGGAGATCACTGTTGATGGGAGGAGATAGAAAAATAATATATCTAAAACTTGGAGAACAAAAACAGAAAAATGTTTACTTAGGTACCAAAATGAAAATGATTAAGAGGTGTAAAAAAAAAGCAGTAAGAATAATATGTTTGTTCTGGACACAGAGATGAGCCAGCAAATATATTTTAATAGAAGATTTGGATCATGAAAATTATATTTTAGAAAAGTTAATGTCATGGAAGTGTACAATGTGGATTAGATGGGAAAGACTGGAAAAAAAAATAGCGAGAAAGCTTTTGCAGCTATCAAGGTATGATAGGAAGGATGAAGCCAGGACTAAGATAGAGTCAGTGGAAATCAAAAGGAAGAAAGAGATATTGGAAATATTTTCAAATATTTCCAGTATTTGAAGACAGGTTTCAAATATCAGATAATTTCAAATATCTCTTCAAATACTGAAGAGAAGAGGGAGTATTACTTAGTGCCTCATTAGAGTGGGAAGAAGGAAAGGAGAGAGACAAATTATAGAAACCAAGAATGGTCACTCAAGTTTTCTTGGGGAGTATAATAATCATGTTTTTGCTAACAGAATGCGGGAAGTCAGGGAGAGTTCTTTTTGAGAATCAGTGTAGAAAGACTGTGTACTTAGTTAAACAATAATTGTTAAAGTATTTTTATCCTGCATGAGCTATCCACATTGCGGTTTATCCACTTTCTGGAAGACAGCACAAGGCTACTTCTTCTTCTTCTTTTTTTTTTTTTTTTTGGCAGGGGTTTCCTTTAGACATTCTCAGAACTACCTACACAGTTGTGATCCTCTTTCCTCCTTTTGAATTACCAGACACCTCCCCATCTTGTCTTGAATGATCCAGATCTGCACTGGTCAATATGGTAGTTACTAGTCATATGTGTCTATTTAGCACTTGAAATGTGTCTAGTACAACAGAGGAACTGAATTCTTTTTTTTTTTTCCCCATTGATTTTATTGCATTTTAGGATTTGGGGTACATGTGAAGAACATGCAAAATTGTTGCATAGTAACACACGTGGCAGTGTGATTTGCTGCCTTCCTCCCCATCACCTACATCTGGCATTTCTCCCCTTGCTATCTCTCCCCAGCTTCCCACCACCCACCGTCCCTCCCCTATTTCCCCCCAACTGACCCCAGTGTGTAGTGCTCCCCTCCCTGTGTCCATGTGTTCTCATTGTTCAACACCCGCCTATGAGTGAGAACATGCGGTGTTTGATCTTCTGCTCTTCTGTCAGCCAGATGGATTAAAGACTTAAACATAAGACCTAACACCATAAAAACCCTAGAAGAAAATCTAGGCAAAACCATTCAGGACGTAGGTGTAGGCAAGGACTTCATGACCAAAACACCAAAAGCATTGACAACAAAAGCCAAAATAGACAAATGGGACCTAATCAAACTCCACAGCTTCTGCACAGCAAAAGAAACAATCATTAGAGTG